ATATTTCATTTGCTCTACTGGTTAAACTTGAAGGAAACTAGGAAAAGGAGTCCCACTGAATGTCCACGCACTATTGAGTCTGTCATCTGCACCTCTATAACTATCTGGTTTGACACTGCAACCAATCAAGACAAACACAGACTTCAATGGATAATTGGAACTGCGAAAATAAAAGAAAAACACATACACAATTGCTACCAACCTGCCTTCCCTTGAGAATCTGCACGAGCCAGAAAGAGGGCTGTGAAAATATCTACAAACCCCTCATGTCCTGATCATAAACTGTTTCAACTTCTACCCTCAAAATGATGCTATAGAGCACTGCACATCAGAACAACTATAGACACAAGGACGGGTTTTTCCCCCATGCCATCACTCTGCTAAACAACAAATTCCCACAACACTGTCAAACTATCGGGAAAGGCAGTATTACTATCCTTATTCTCATGTTCCCTATTACCTATCTCCTTATCTTATGACTACAACTTTGTTGCTTGTATCTTATGATTTATATTGTTTACTTAGTACCCTAGTATAATTTATGTTGATTGCTTATTTAGTATCCATGACTAAGTGTTGTATCCGATGTTTTATGATGAATGTATTTTTACAATATCTATGATAATGATCTATCACTATTGTTGAGTGTACACTGAGAGCTTCTGCACCGGAGACAAATTCCTTGTGTGTCTAATCTCATTAGGCCAATAAAGAATTCTGATGCTAATGCTAATTTGATCCCTTTGTAACACCCCGTCTTCCTTCCCTCTGTTGTGCTAAGTGAGCTCCTCTAAGATGACCAGTCACTGTGTCTTGTGAATGATTGATCAAAGGGAGTGGGAGCAGGGGTGGGATCTGACTGGTGTAACTACTGGTTCGGTGATTTTACGTTTTGCACACGCGTGTATATCATCGTCAGCTAGCTGCCTAAACAGCTGAGCAGCGCTGCACGTGGGTGCACAGCGATTGAAAAGGCACTTTTTTCCTGCTTTTTCAACCACAGCTGTGTTTTGCAAAGCACCTGCAGTTGAAAAAGCAGGAAATAAAGGTCAGGTAAGAGCCCAGGAGGCTGGGTGGGCCAAAAGAGCAGCAGACATAGAACCAGTTCTATGTCTGCTGTCTGTTTGCTGCTCTTCAGAGCAACCGGTTCTATAGAGGTGGACAGAACCAGTAGAATTCCACCCCTGAGTGGGTGGTACTATAAATGCCTGATGAAAGAAAAGAGAGGAAGGAGAATGCTTGAGTGTAAGAGGGACTCATATCACCATAAGGCTAGTTAGGAAATTGTATACCCCATTTTGATAATAATCAGCTACATGTTTACATATCTTGGGAACCTTTGGCAAAGTGTGGAGATTCCTAGTCATCCACGCTATGGTTGTCCCAAACGTACTTTTTCAAGAAGAAGCTTCTTGAATGAGAAGCAAAAATGTCTTCAAAGAAAAACTAGACAGCCAACTTGCCTCATGAAAAAGTACCTTTGGGACTTTGGCACACTACCTCTTGATATGCTACTGGTTGGGATGTTAACAAGTGTGATTTGGATGTTGTTCTGATGCCTGCTCATTGGTTCTTCATCCCCACAACTTTCACAGAAGTAAAAATAGACCTTATTGGATGCCCAGTTGGTCCACTGATTTCATTAAAGAAATCCAAGCCCTTTGGATCCAGGGTAGATGGAACACAGATCTGTAGGCATGAATATTTGAATTTGAAAGTGTTGAAAAGAAATCATGGGCTGAAAAGAAAGAGGCGGTAATTCAAGGAAATTCAAGGCAATGCCTTCCTTTTCCTCTCGAAGGCACATAAAGGATGGATTCCATCATCACTGAATTCCTAATTTTAGTAGAACAGAATAACAGAAAAGCATAGTTGGAAGGGACTTTGGACACCTTCTACTGCAACCTTCTGCTCAAGTCCCTATACTGTTCCAGACAAATGGTTGTCCAATCTCTCTAGTCTCTAGTTGTCCAATAGATTTGAATTTAACTTCTAGATTATTATGCAAGCCGACTCTGAACCAATATAAAAAAGCAAATACACCTCTATCATGCCCCTGTCGGAAACTGATTCCAAGGGGGAGGCCGAGCAGCTGACAGGGAGTAGGAGTGTGGCTCCATTGGCTGTTGAAGAAACGGGGGAAGGGCACAGTCTGGCTGGGCAGAGCAGGGGAGAGATAGAGCAAGGCAGAGGGAATTCAGAGGAAGACCCAGGCCCACCCCCTCTTCATCCTAGGGCACACAGGGAGGAACGGAGAAGGGAGCAATGTGAGTTGAGTGGCTTACACAGGAGGAAAGGGCCCTGATTCCCTTCATTAGCTGCAGCTGGGAACACAGTGTTCAAAAAGGGGAGTTGCGCACTGCCAACTGTTGGATGTAAATTTTGAGTTATCTTTTATTGTCGAGGCTTATCTGGGTTCCTGGCATCATCCCAACCGTGTGTGTTTTGTTGGCCTTTGAAGTCTGCAATTCCTTATTGTGCCCTGTCTAGTTAATTGCTGCAGTGTGGTTTGTGTGGATTTTTATTTACAGTTTATATGTACTTTGTTTTCATACTGAATTTCCTCCACTTAAATACTGTTTTTGGGAGAGTTTTTTTTCTCCAGTCAAAGGTAACTGTTCATATAGGGCAAAGTTGGAGGTATTAAAAGGACTTTTCTTATGTGACTGTGTTGTCTTTGTGCCACACCCTGAGTCATCACACACCTCACTTTGAGGTTTTGGCATTTGGAGGAGTAGAGAGATTCTTTATTCTTATTGAAAGCAAAACTGGAAGGGTGCCTATTATGGCAGAGATGCTGAATGGAAGATAATAATCTGACACACACACATACCCCTTTTTTTTTTGCAGAGGACAAAAACTGGAGATGTGGTATGTCCTGCCCTTCTTGTTCACCATCCAGGAGATCAACCAGAATCCTCATCTCTTGACTAATATCACTCTGGGTTACAACTTCTATGACATTTATCTCAACAAAGATAAAATTTCTGAAGTCTTGCTAACACCTGCTTTCAAGTGGACGAGCCAATATTCCAAATTTTATGTGTGGACAAGAGGAGAATCTGCTAGCGGTTCTTGATGGAGCCAATTCTGATAAGTCCATTCAGATTTCCATGCTCTTGAACATCTACAAAATCCCACAGGTAAATATGATGAAGAATGACAACCACATCTTCTGCCTAGGGATTACACCTGAAAGCTCAATATACCTGTCATGCCCCTGTTGGAATCTGATTTGGAGGGGGAGGTTGAGCAGCTGACAGAGAGCGGGAGTGTGGCTCCATTGGCTGTGGAAGAAACTAGGGAAGGGCACAGTCTGGCTGGGCAGAGCAGGGGAGAGGTAGAGCAAGGGAGAGGGAATTCAGAGGAAGACCCAGGCCCACCCCCTCTTCATCCTAGGGCATGCAGGAAGGAACAGAGAAGGGAGCAACATGACTTGCGTGGCTTACGGGGGAGGAAAGGGCCCTGATTCCCTTCATTAACTGCAGCTGGGAACACAGTGTTTAAAAAGGGAAGCTGAGCACAAGAAGTTGTTGGGAGCCAAGTGTGAATTATTTGTTATCATTTAGATTTATCTGTGTTCCTGCCATCTTCTCAACTGCATGTGTGTTTTGCTTTCAAGTCTGCAATTCCTTCTCCTGCCCTGTCAAATTAATTACTGCAGCGTGGTTTGTTTGGATTTTTAGTTATAGTTTGTATGTACTTTATTTTCGGACTGAATTTCCTCCCCTTAAAGACTGTTCCTGGGAGAGTTTTTCTCCAGCCAAAGGTAACCTGGACATTGGGGGCAAAGTTGGAGATAATAAAGGGACTCTTCTTGCTTATTTGACTGTGTTGCCTTTGTGCCACACCCCGGGTCATAACAATACCAAACAAAACAGAGAAAGAGGAATATTAGGATGTAGTATCCCAGCTAGAAGAAATTTTGTTCTCTTTCAGACCTTCAATTGACTTTTGATACAGCCAAGAAATGACGAGCTGATAGAATTCCATGTGGTCAAATTCTTATTCAACAAACAATTTTATAGTGTTAGTATTTTGTTGATGCTGTTACATATTTTGATTTTGCTCCTATTGTTCTACTACATTGATTCCTTACAGGAAATGATAAGATATATATTTTTTAAAATGGAAGTGAGGGGGTGTTATGAAATGAGGATGATATACTTGAGATATAGCTACACTTCATTTGTTTTTCTTATGACTTTGATCAGTTTGGTCTGTAATTACATTCTGCTCTTTGGGGTACTGTATAATGTTCCTGACCATAAATGGGAATAGCAGAAGGGTTACGAAGGCACAGACATCTCCCAGATGAAAGGATATCATCTTGTGTCTCCGGGAAAGTAGACACAGTCACAATCACTATAGTTGAGATCCAGAAATCTAATATTTTCACTTGGTCAAAGTATGTGCACCTGGAAGATAACCTAGCATTTATGCAGGTTTGGTTTCTTCCTGCTAACAATCTTTTTTTGATCTTTATCTTTGTTTGTCATGATCTTTATTTGTAGGAATGAACGTTCTCAGAGTGTATTTACAAGTTGAGGTCAGCATAACAGAATAACAGGGTTGGAAAGGACCTTGGAAGTCTTCTAATCCAACTCCTCCCCACTTCAAGCAGGAGACCCTGTACTGTTTCAGATAAGTGGCTTTGCAGCCTTTTCTTAAAAGCCTCCAGTGATGAAGCACTCAGAATCTCTGTTGTTCCACTGATTAATTGTTCTCGGGAAATTTCTCCTCAGTTCTAGGTCTAAGCTCAGGGCTCAAAAGACATAACCAATCCCTTCTTTTCATTCCAGATATCTTATATGTTTGTTTCTGAAGGGTTGAACCATAGAGCCTCCTTCCTGTTTTTCTACCAGATGGTGCCTGAAGAGGGAATCCAATATTCAGGAATGATCAAACTCCTCCTTTATTTCAGGTGGACCTCCATTGGCCTCGTTGCTCCAGACCCAGACAGTGGAGAGAAGTTCCTGAGAACATTGATGCCACTCCTGGAAACAAACAGCATCTGCATCCTTTTTTCACTAACTGTCACAAAGCTGGATGCAGGTCAATTGTCTGTTTCTCCTGATTTCTTCCTTAAATGGACGCAAATCAATGTATACATTTCCTTCATGGAGACTGTTTCTGAGTTCATAAGAATGCGTCTGATAGAAAAATCCTTTGAGGAGAACACAAAACTTGAACAAGGGAAAATTTGGTTTATTACTACAATGTGGGACATCACCTTTGACTTAGTTAATCGTTTTCTGACTTTCCAACACACCTATGGCTATTTTTCCTTCTGCATCCAGACCAAAAAGAAGACAACATATGGTGATTTTACTTTCTTCTCCTATTCTGTCAGGATGTTTGCCCATCAAGCATTTATGTGTTCACATTCAAAGCATGCCTTGTTGGTGAATGGCTGGATCAGTTGCAAAGAGAGAACACCTGAGGCCTTTGCCCCAGAACCATGTGGAAAAGATACTTTGCCTTGACAGCTACCGCCTCTACAACAACATCTGGGCTGAGGCACGTGCCTTAAACACTGCCTATGCCTCCAGATCCAGCTGGAGGAGGAAGAAAAGTGGGAAGGAGTCAGGAATTCAGAGGCTGCAGCCTTGGCAGGTATTTCCTTCTCATCTCTTTCTTTTCTTTTCTTTTTTTCTTTCTTCCTCTCTTTCTCTCTCCCTCTCCCCTTTCTTTCTTTCCCTCCCTCTCTCCCTTTTTTCCTCCAAAACCTCTGGAGCCACACTCCCACGCCCTGTCGGTTGTTCCTCCTCTCCCTCAGAGTCAGATTCTAACAGGGGCATGACACATTCTGTGTTGTTGACCCATCCTTTACCTTTCTTGTGAGAAGAAGGAGGTGTTTTAGGTTTCCAATTTTCATACTTTGGCCACCAAATGATAAGAAAGAACTCATTGGAAAATACTTGGATGTTGAGAAAGATGGAAGGTAAAAGGAGCGGAGGACAGCAGAGGATGGTAGAAGGTTAGATAGTATCATAGATGCAATGAATTTGGGCAAACTCTGGGAGGCAGTGGATGGCAGGGGTGCTATGATCCATCAGTTCACAAAGAGTTGGACACAAGTTAAAGACTGAACAACAAAAATTTTCATAATTTTTAGTGACATGGTAGTTAGACTGCTGTACTGCAGGCTACTTCTACTGACTGCCAGCAGTTTGGCAGTTCGATTCTCACCAGTTCAAGGTTGATTCAGCCTTCCATCCTTCCGAGGTGGGTAAAATGAGGACCCAGATGGTTGGGGGCAATCTGCTGACTCTGTTATATGTCATTGGGCAGAAGATCACAAAGACAGGAGGTGGGGAAGAAACAAGGAAATCCAAGACTAAGTGTGTTGATTACACAATCAAAAATACAAAAACAAAACAAAAATCCACGTAAAAAGCAAGCACATATTAACAATGTTCATCATTCAGCCTTCTACATCATAGTGACCTGGAATCATGGGATCACTTTTTGCAACTTTCTGACAAGCAAATTCAATTACAAAGTCAGCTATATTAAGAACTGTAGTGTCTCAGCCAGTCCATGAGTATTGAAGATTTGCCCTGAAATGAATACAAACTCCAGCTCCTTTGTAGTACAATGGTGGTTTATTCATTAGCTCAGCAAACAACAAATACTCTTCTCTGACAAGAAAGGCTAAAAGCCAGGCAAGGTTAGAGTTGGGTTTGAGTTTGCTCCCTTTCCTTTTATTACCATTATCATGAGACACACCCTACCACACCCAGGCCTATACACAGTTCTAATTCTGGCATTGCCTAACCCATTATCCCTAAATGCTATTAAGCCTGTAACATGTCTACATCCCTACCCTATTCTGACCCGCACTAACTTATCTCCTTCTGGTGCCACCTTCACTATGTTTTAACCTAAGGCTTAATTACCACCTATATGTGCCCCAAACCCCTTTAACAATATGCTCCACATCAATACATGAAAAGAGCCATTTCCAGCAGCCCCGCTGTTCTTTCAGAATCCATCCTGCAGCCCCACAGTTGCTTCAGAATCCATCCTCCATCCCCGCAGTTGTTGCAGAATCCATCCTCAGCTCGGCTGGGTCATTCCAAAGCCATCAGCCAGCACACAAGCAGAAATACAGATCCAGCAGCAGCAGAGATAAGGTGACATGACATGACATTGCTGTGAGACATATTCAGAGCTGACGGGCTCCGAGTGAACTCAGAGCCCGACATAGTGGTTCAATTGACAACGGTGGCAAGAAAAGTTGTAAAAAGTTATAAAATGGGGTGAAACCCACTTGTCTTCCTTAGCAACAGAAATTTTAGGCTCACTTGTGGCTGTTAAGTTGAGGATTACCTGTAAAACACATCTGTAAACCAACAGTTTTCACTGGATCAGCCTTGGAGATGACTGAGATTTTAGTTCCTGTAAAATGGAACTACCACATTACAAAACGGTTTACAATAGGCTATAGATTCCTTCCTTGCCATCTTTAAAATCCAAAGCATATGGAAAAAAGGATAGAAATATTGGCTTGAACGAACATTTCCCCAGTTCTAGAAATGAACTGGGCACGGGATCTAAGTGTTAACTCTCTATTTAAAAATCCAACTGCTATGAGGACTGGAGAACTGGTCACTTAGTGGTTGTAGCTGCATTACAAGTACCACCAGCTCCCACTATCACAGGAAATGAGGAGGGGTGTTGTGAGTTGTAATTCAGCAATTGGCCTGGTGATTTGCATGATTTTTCTCCTCTGTGAACTCACTGGTGAGCAATTAGGTGCGTCAATTGCCAGAAGTTCTTCCCACACTCTGAACAGATGTAAGGTTTCTCCCCTGTGTGGATCCTCTGATATCAAGTCAGGTGTATCCATTGAGCAAAGCTCTTTCCACACTCGGTACAAGCAAACGGCTTCTCCCCAGAGTGGATTCTCAGGTGTAAAGTGAGAGTACTGCTATAAGCAAAGCTTTTTGTACACTCGGAGCACTTATACGGCTTGTCACCAGCATGAGATTTCTACGACTCTTGCTGTACTCTAAATATATGTATGGTTTTTCCAATGTATGCCCTTTCTGATGTGTCGTAAGACTCGTCCACTGCCTGAAGTGTTTCCCACAGTCTGGGCACTCAAACATTTTTTCTCCAGTGTGGATTCTCTGGTGTCGAGTTAGTTGTATCCGCTGAGTAAAGCTCTTACCACATTCTCAGCAAGCGAACAGTTTCTCTCCACTACGGATCCTCTGGCATAATACAAGTGTGCTGGCACATGTGAAGGTCTTTTTGCACTGAGAGCACTTATACGGTTTTCCCCCCGCATAGGTTCTCTGATGATAAGACAGACTGCTACTCTGTCAGAAGCCCTTTCCACATTCCGAGCATTTGTAGGGTTTCTCCTCTGTATGTAGCTGCTGATGCGTTTTCAGGTTTGTCCACTGGGTGAAACTCCTCCCGCAATCGGCACACGTGTACAGTTTCCCCCCTGTGTGGATCCTTCGGTGGGAAGAGAGGGTGCTACTGTGGTTGAAGCTCTTTTCACACTCTGCGCATTTAAATGGCTTCTCGACCGTGTGGATTCGTTTATGTTTGGTGAGGTTGCTGTTATCAATGAAATGTTTCCCGCACTCGGGACATTGATATTCACACTTGTTACTCTCCTGAGTGGGTCCTCTGATGGCCAATCAGGTGATGACTCCAACTGAAGCTCTTCCCGCAGTCTGAATACTGAAATGGCTTGTCCCCTGTGTGAGTTCGCTGATGTACTACGAGGTGCATCCTCTCTTTGAAATCCTTCCCGCACTCCAAACCCTTGCATGACCTTTCCAATTCCAGGACTTTGCTTGGGGTTGCAGGGCTGGAGATCTCAGCCAATAGTTTTCCACAAGAAGAGGAGAATTTCCTACTCTTTCCTGCCAGATCTTGGCTGCCTATCTTTCCCACACAGCCTCCTTGCTGCACCCGGAATTCATCAAAGCTCACATTTTCAGTTGAAATGGGTCTCTTTTTCCTTCTCTGATGCGGCACAGTTTTTCTGCTTTGCTCTTTGCTATTTGTAGTGTTCTCTTTTTCATCACCTGCAAGAACAAAGAGAGAAAAGACACCAATGGAGAAAGAGATTTGGGGTGAACTGCAGACGAGACAAATGGGGGGACAAAGAGAAATAAATGCTGAATGTTAGGTTCTGTTGTGGTTCGCCAGCAGCCTGTGCAGACAGCAGCGGAATCGGACAGTGGGAAAGAACGGGGACCAATCCGGGAGTTCTATTCCATTCCGTTCTATTCCATTTCCTCTATTCTATTCTATTCTATTCTATTCTATTCTATTCTATTCTATTCTATTCTATTCTATTCTACTCTACTCTACTCTATTCTATTCTACTCTACTCATCCATTTTTCCCAGCCTCCCCAAAAATCTCTCACATCTCCCCACCCAACTTACCTGATTCACCAGGATCCCATCGACCAACTGACAAATTGCCTGTAAAGTTGTCTACTTCTTCCTTGAAGCCTTCAGCTGGCAGATTTTCATCTAACAGGGGCATCTGATCCAGAGCCAGAAGAATTCCTTTGACAGAAAATCAAAATGGATATAAAAAGGGCTATACATTTATAAAAGTGCAATGCATTTCTAGCTTGAGTGGTAAAAACATGAAGAGAACAAACATTTTTATCTCTGCTTCTGCCCAGAAATAAAACAGAAAGAACTTGCTTATATAGTCAAGTTGCCGACTTACGACAATAACTGAGCCCAAAATTTCTGTTGCTAAGCGAGACAGTTGTTAAGTGAGCTTTGCCCCAATTTATGACATTCTTGCCACTAAATGAATGCTGCAGTTGTTAAGTAACAGAGTTGCTAAGAGAATTTGGCCTTCCCATTGACTTTTGCTTCTCAGAAGGCCCCAAAAGGTAATTACATAATCTTGAGACATTACAACTGTCATAAATATGAGTCAATCGTCAAGCATTTGAATTTTGATCATGAGGATGCTGCAATAGTCATAAGTTTGAAAAATAGTCATATTACTTTTTTCAGTGCCATTGTAACTTCAAATGGTCACTAAAGGAACTGCTGTAAGTCAAGGAATACCTGTATAATCAAAACTAAAGGTATTACGGACTGAGCCTGGCTTCCTACTTTTACACTCTAACCATTCCCAAGTATAGAAGAGCTTTCTCCTTAGCTCGCTTGAATGTCTTGCCCTCAGCACTACTGGATGGGTGATTTAAGAGACTCCCGATCAACAAGCGGCTATGCCTCTGTGACAGAGCTGAGGTTGAAACTGTGGAGCATGTCCTTTTATATTGCCCTATATATAACGCATCAGTTCTCAGGTTTCCAATTTTTTTTTTAAGAGCTGTAACCATCAGAGGAGAACGCTGTAATTCCCCTTAGTCAAATTTTTGGTGACCAATTGTTCATGATTAATTTTCCCATGTTCTTCTTTTTATTGTACTTGTGTTTTGGCCTGTGACTGCAAATAAAGTACCCTGTTTCTCCAACAATACGGCCTCCCCGAATAGGAAGTCCCAGCATGTTTTATAGGCATGAAATGAAATTAAGCCCCTCCCCCCAAATTAAGGCCTTTATTAAAACATGTGAAATGGGGGGGAATGGTGGGGGGGCTTGCTGTTAGGAAGTACTTTTGTTGCACACCCGAATATGGTGCTGCCTGCATTGACCCCGATACGAAGTGCCCCACTAACGCCGAGGTCAACATCCAAGCCGTCGCTGCCCACCCAAAGATGCAAGGGAGGGGAAATTAAGTCACCCCCAAAAAGACCACTTAGCCATTTTTTCGGGGCTCAAAAAAAAAAAAAAATAAGACCCGGCCTTATTATATGAGAAACATGGTATTATAATAATAAAAACTAAAGGTTCCTAATCCACACATATTTTTCAATCTAAACAGGATCCCTGGCTTAGCCAGAAAGCAATTAGAGGCAGATAATTCTTAGCTACAAAGAAGGTAACAAGAGCTAACACGATACAAAAACCTATTTGCAAAAAAGGTTAGTCTAGCTGCAAGAATTTAACTTTAGTGAGAACAATTAATAGTCGTTTTAAATTAATTTAGTGGAACGACGTGCCTCCAGAAGTTGTGAACGCTCCAACCCTGGAAGTTTTTAAGAAGAGATTGGACAACCATTTGTGTGAAATGGGATAGGGTTTGAGTGAGGGGTGAGGGGTTGGACTAGAAGATCTCTAAGGTCCCTTCCAACTCTGTTATTCTGTTATAGCAATAACTTATTTATCAGTGCTTTTACAGCCTTCTTGAAGCAGTTTACAGAGTCAGCATATTGTCCCCAACAATCTGGGTCCTTGTTTTACTCACCTGTTATGTGCTGTTTTTCTACACCGGATGTAAAGGTGAAATACACGACTGACATTCTTTCGCAAGGTAATGCCTAGCTTAGGGAATCCCTCTTAATCAAATAGAGGAGGTAAGGATCCTTACCAGGGGTGGGCTGCTGGGGGATTGCAGGGGCTCGGGAGAGCCCCTAGCTAAGACTGCAGGGCTTGGAGAGCCCCCAGTAACCTCAGAAAAACAAGGAGCAAGGGAAAGCTCTTAATAGGCTTAATTGAACTTCTGGGCGTTCAGCCAAGAGCATTTCACACCTTGTAAAAATGTTGCAAGCTAGATAAACAATCCACTCAGTGCTTGCGAGGGAGAGCCATTGAGAAAAATCAGACAGCATAGCCACTAAGCCTCCGAGGGGATTAATTCCCAAATAATAAGAATCACATAACTCACAAGAAACTCCACTAAGACTCCAAGATCCCTCTCACAGTCACTTCTATTAAGCCTGGTTTCCCCCAGTCTTTTATTTAAGTCAGGGGTCTTCAAACTTGACAGTTTTAAGACTTGTGGACTTCAACTCCCAGAATTCCTCCTCCAGTCTTCTTAGCTTAGGAATTCTGGGAGTTGAAGTCCACAAGTCTTAAATTTGCCACGCTTGAAGACCCTTGGCTTAAGTATTAAATGCACCAAAATAATAAACAACTTTTTGGTATACTATCTTTTTGTAGGTAATTAGGGCAAAGAAGCAACATCGAGTTGGCCACACCCACCCAGCCACATGACCACCTAGCCACATCCACCAGATCACATGACCACCCGATCACACCACCACGTAGCCACACCCACCCAGCCACACCCACCCAACCAATCATTAGGTCAGAGTGCCCCTTGCTAAAAAAATTTGAAGCCCACCCTTGTTCCTTAGCCAAGGAAGCCAGCGTCTTCTGAATCTCCTCCATGACTTCTTGATGCAAAATCCTTTGGTCTGCATTCAGCAACGTCCACTCCTCCTCCTTAAAGCAAACAGCAACTTCTTCGAAGATCGCCAGAGCCTGAAAGCAAAGCGAACTCCTTTCTCATCACAATAGTACCAGATTGGGTCTCATTATAGGTGGAGATGAAGCAGCGTACGGGGGCGGGGGGTTCAAAAATTATCCTCATGGTGCCTAGAAAACAACCTGCACCTAAACATCAGCAAGACAAAGGAGATGGTGTTAGACTTCCAGAAGAAGAGAGAGGAACCCGCCCCAATTTACATCAAGGGGGGCTGTGTGGAGATAGTTTCCTCCTTTAAATTCTTGGGAGTCTACCTCAGCGAAGATCTTACCTGGAAAATCAACATACCCCAGGTGGCCAGAAAGGCCCAACAGGGACTCCATTTCCTTAGGGTCTTGCAAAAGAATGAAGTGGAACAATGACTGATAACCTCCTTTTATCAACAGATAAACAGAAAGCATCCTCACATATTGCATGACGGTGTGGTATGCTGGCTGGACAGCCACGGATAGAAAGACACTACAGAGG